ATATTACTAGTTTCAGAAGAGAGTATACAAGTATTTAGCTGAGTAGTAGTAGAGGTATTGGTAGTATTAGTAAAGTTTTCATAGGATAGTGTTGGAAGTGCTTATATTTTCTTGTTTATTTGCTTTTAGATATTGTGTTTTTGTTTGAACGTAGGTTTTGATGAGAAAGGAGTTATAGGTTTTACTAGTTAGGATTTTTATTGCAGATATTGTGATTATATTTTGGTTTCTAACTTTTTTAAGTATAAAGAGAAGTATATTAGCTTTGCTAATATGTATCTAATACTTTGGATATTGTGTGATGTTGTTGATAATAGTAGATTTTTGTATATCGATATAGTAGATATGTGCATTATTAGAAAGTTCTAGAGTAAAATAAACTCGAAAGGTTAGTTTGTCAGTGTTAAAAGTTATGATATCAAGGATATGTATAGCTAGTTCGTTGTTGTTTAGTATATTGTTTTATTGGAATGTGTAGTTCGTATTTGTAGTCTCTATATTCAGCATATTGTTGTTATTATTATTGTTTTCATTATTGTTTGGTATATTATTAGAGCTAACATTATCAACAAAATGATGTTTTTTCATTTCTCCTCTATTCCCTATAGTTGAAGTTATAATATTCAAGTAGTTGGTTTTAGAAGTTAGTAGTTGTTTTTTCTGTGAGTTATTATCTTTTTTATTTAGACCTTCTCAAAATAAAGAGTTTTTAGTATTAGTTGTATAGTTGTTTTTTCTTTTTTCTATTTTTCGCAGTATAGTTGTTGAGCAGTATGTGAAAGAGTTTTAATTTTATTTCCCTTAAATTATCAATATTAGTTTGATATTAACTGAGATATCACTATTTTAATATTTGAATAATATTGTGTAATATTTCAAAATATTATGCAAACTTGCATAATATTTTAAAATACTATGCAATATTATTCAAATTTAAAATAGTAATATCTTAGCTAATATTAAACCAATATTGATAATTTAACTACTATTATAACCAGAACAAACTGCTAAACAATATTATATAATGATATTTTATGAATTTTATTAATAAATTTCAAAATATTTGCATTTTTTTAAATCTTTTACAATATTTCATATCAATCAAAATTCTTTTAAAATATTTTATTTAAAAAATTTGATGATATTATACTAAAATTTGGTTCAATTTGAAATATTCTAATTTCAAGTTAAACTATTTTAAGTTTACTTGAACCAGAATTTAGTTCAATTTGAACTATTTCAAGTTCATATTAAACTACTTTTAGTTTATTTGATAAATTTTACAAATATTTGCAATTATTCATATATTTTTGATAATTACTGTATTATATTTATTCTGATATAAATTAACTATTCTGAGGTCTAGTGATCTTAGTGTAGTGGTTAGGTTGCTAGACTACCATGCAAGAGGTCTGGAGTTCAAATCCTACTGTCGACAAATTTGAATAATTACCTGGACCTTTGTACTCAACTTACGGTAAACCCTGTCTGTTTCTGAGATTGTAACCCTGTAAATCACATTGCATCAATATTATCTGGATATTGAAAATGTGACGAGGCGTTTGGCAAGACATAACATTATACAAATAAATCTTGATAGGATCTATGGGCAGGGGACCTGCATGGTAGAAATCTTGAGTTGGTAAAGTAGTACGGCCTTCGACAGTCATATCAGCTAATGCTTGATCCAGAAAGAAAACTATCGACGAAAGATGCAGATCGAGTCGAATACACATAAATCCATTCTACAGGGAGGATTAGTAATACCAACCTGGCTTGGCGACTAACTGGATTGGGAGGATCTGCTTCATGAAATATCTAAGAAGATAGATACAGAAAACTGGTGGAGAGCTATGGTAGGAACTGGGGTTGTACAAACATCTACAAGGGTCTAAGCTAGGTGAATCTATAAAATGGATACGGACCACTCTAGTAGGTATGCTTCGAGGTTAACTGGCTCTGCGGTACCTACAATGCATTAGATACAATGTATCTCGAGAGGACCTAAGCCATTCTGGATAAATGGATCTATAACGAGCTAGCTAGCTTAAGCAGTTAGGTGTTGCGGTGACGTTAAGTTGGATCTGTATAGGTTAATGATCAGAGTGTTTAAATAGGTAACTCACAGACGGGTTACAGGTATGGCAGCATAGTGTAGAACTAATCAGGTAGTTTAATTGCCTGTGCGGCGGACTACTTAATTAGACAATAACTAAAGTTGTATATGTAGCTTGTTGTACACTCTTCATATAATTACAAATAGTAGGGACTATCAATAGATATCCTATATGCAATTCTAATAAAATTCCTTCGGCAATATAAGCTGCCTTAATAACAAAAAAAAAAAAAATAAATTAACTATTCTAAATTCACTTTGAGTTTACTTGAATCAGAATTTGATTCAATTTGAACTATTCTATATTCAAGTTAAAATACTTCTAGTTTACTTCATTATCAAATTTTTTTAAATAAAATATTTTTAAAAGAATTTTAATTGATATGAAATATTGTAGAAGATTTTAAAAAAATATGAATATTTTTGAAATTTATTAATAAAATCTGTAAAGTATCACTAAGTAATATTGTTTAGCAGGTTGTTTTAGTTATAATAGTAGTTAAATCATCAATATTGGTTTGATATTAGCTAGGATATAACTATTTTAATATTTGAATAATATTGCATAGTATTTCAAAATATTGCATAAACTTGTATAATATTTTGAAATACTACATAATATTATTCAAATTTAAAATAATGATATCTTAGCTAATATCAAACTAATATTGATGATTTAATAACTATTATATAGAACAATCTGCTAAACAATGTTACATAGTGATATTTTATAAATTTTATTAATAAAGTTTGAAAATATTCATATTTTTTTAAATCTTCTGCAATATTTCATATCAATTAAAATTCTTTTAAAATATTTTATTTAAAAAATTTGATAATTTTGTACTAAAATTTGGTTTAATTTGAACTATTCTGAGTTCAAATTGAATTTTTTTAGGTTTACTTAAACTTAGGGATGGCAAATGTTTTAAAACAACATGTTTTAAAACATGTTTTAAATGTTTTAAAACATTAATTTTTTTAAATAAAAAACATGGTTTATTACAGACCAATCATATTATAGAATTTATTATATAATATATAGATATAATGATCAACAATTTTCAAAATAAAGTAAAAATAAATACTAAACATTTTCTTTACCAATTACTAAATGCTTAATGCAAATATAAGTTTCAATAAAAAAATATAGATGATAGTTAGAAAAAACCTGTAAAATTATTTATTAATAATAAAGTTCATTGTTAATGAATTGATATACTAGTTTTTTTTTAAATACTAGTAGTTATTTAAAGATTAGTTATAAACATATTTCCTAAACATAATTATTTATTTTACATAGCATAATTATTTTAACTTTTAATCATTGTATAAAATTCAATAAGTAAAAAGATAAATTATTTGTGTTGCATATTGAGTTGAGTAATGGAGAATCAGAATAAATTAAAGCTTAGTAAGGTGTTGAGTATTTTTATTTCGCTTTATAGATAGAGGCTGGGAAGTGCAATTAACACATTCTAGAAGGTACTATAAGGATTCGCACAATGTATATTGTTATGTATAAGTAGAAACTTTTGAATAGTTATTAACAGTGCATAATTACTAATGAAGCAGGTTATACTACAGGTAGAGTAACACGGGAACTTGGGATAATCTACGCTAATACACCACCAAATGTTACCTAAGGTTTATAGAGGCGGAATCAATTCAGAAGTTAAGGCGTATCGAATAAGCAGTCAGGTAAGCATAGTGTTTTAAGAGATTAACAGGTTATATATCGAATATTGGCAAGTATACTTTTATTCGTAGGGATAGTAGCTTATTTATTAATTAGAGCAGAGAAGACTTTTAAGATCTTTAATTATTCTAAAGGGAACGGTATAACTTTATTATTAGGAGCAGGAAGAACTGAACTCAAATTTGAGACAAAGGCTACACTTTTATAACTAAATTTTTAGGAAGGTAAATTGTGGGGTTTCTCTATTTTTATCTTTCGCTCTTACTAACTTTTCCTTTTTCTTATTAGTTCTACCATTTCTCTTAATTACTTTCATATTGGGTATAAGCAGAAATTTATGAAAGTATAATGACTATTATACTTTACAGCAAAATTTCGCTTATATCCAACAACTCAGGATATAACTGAGACTGTAATAATGAAAAATCAGAAACATATACCTACAAGAAAGCAATGGAAAGATTAATAGGACTAAGTAAAGAAACTCTAATACAAGAAATATTTTGACTCCATCAATCTTTTGTTTCGTCTATAAGAGAAATAATCAGGCTACTTCAACACAGCTGAATCTTATCAGATAAGTCTTATTATCATGATATCTTTATCTTGTGCTATCCATTTCACTAATTCTTTCTTCCTTTTTAGGTTAATTCATTTGTTTAATGTATCGTAGGGCTTGGTGCAATCCAGTTTTGGGATATTCTTTACACTCGATTTGGTTACAATTTGGTCACGGCTTCATTACGGTTTTACGAAAATGATTTTACCTGATTTTACCTTCTACACTAATAATCTACTGACATATACCGTATATTATCGAAAATAAGCACCCCCTTTTTATTATAAGGGATGCTTATTTTTAGAAACAAATTATTCATTTTCCATTTTTTGGTCCAAACCAAAAATTTTTTTTTTGCGATTTTTTTTTTTAGGTTGACAGTAACAGTAAGTCAACAAACCGAATGGAAGCCTAAGCAGTGATGCATTAACATTAACAATTACATGAGCAATTCTGATAGTAATAAGGAAAAGCTAGTACATGCAACTCCTTTATGATAATGCTACAAAGTAATTTAATGAGTTGCTGGTTTAGGTGACATAGCCACTAACATAACTGTAATTATATAATCTGGATTCAAAAATATATTTAATCATGATGTAATTAATTATGTTTCTAAACAAAAAATGCTGCAAGTTGTTAAACGAAAAAAAGTTGTTAAATATCAAATTACTACTAATATTGATGATTATATTAGTGATAGTAATGATATTGGTAATTATTTTGCTGATGAAGAATAAAATATTTTATTTATCAAATTATATTAAAAAATAAAGTTTTATAATATTACAGTTATTATATTAAATATAAAATGCTTAATTATAAAAAATTATTTATTTTGAAGGGATGCTTATTTTCGGATATAATACAAATCAAGAGGGTGCTTATTTTTGGTAATATACGGTATCCTCTCCTCTTTTTATTTATAATTAGTTCACTGAGAGCTTTAGAAATAGCGAAAATCTTCTCATATGTATGTTTCATTATAAATAATTCTAATCAAGCAATAATAATAGATTTTTATTTTGGTCAGTAAAAGTCACAAATCAATAAATAAATAATACATAATATGTATTCTGTCTTAAATTTTAAATATGTGCGCAACAAAAATTTTTTTAATATGCACACAGGAAATATAACCTGATCTGACCTAAGCAACTTGTAATTTGCAAGAGGTTTCATTAACGTTAATGAAAGTATAATACTTAAAAGGGTTTAATGTGTTAAAAGGAACTAGCAAATAAAATACTTGATTATTAAAAACAATAGTATAATACAAACAGGAATAAATAAGTATATTATGTAATTAGTTAACAATGTAAAAAAAGAAACATAAAATTTACTACCTAAAATTAATGTATAAAAATATTGTGTTATTAGTATTATAATCAATAATATCAATAATATCATTATACTTTTTCAAGACTAGTTTGAAGGATTAACTAGCATTATTAAAATTTAGAAAGTTCTGTATGTAGCGGGGGCTTTAAATGAAAGCTCTTATTTAATATATCCGTTATTTGACTATTCATAATGTCTAAATACTAAATGCTAACTTAATTTAGATAACTAAAATTTTCTAAAAAAGATACTTGCCGATTTTTACTAATAACAATAATATAGGTCCAGAATGCTACCAAAAAAGTAAAGTAATTAAAATTCATAGTCGCATATATAAGAAAAATTAATACTACTAAAAAAAGGTAGAAGCTATGCGAGAATTTGGAAAATGTTTCAAATTCACAAGAAAGGGGGTTAAAAAAAAAAATAGTAATTAGAAAATAAGACGGGAAGAAAAAAAGAGGAAATTGAATAAAAATATTTCTCATTGCTAAGCCAAAATATGAAGACAATAAATTTTCTTATATCCAAATATGAAATAGATTAGATAGAAAATGTTAGAAAGCTTTTTGTGAAATTATAAAAGAAGTACAAAAATCCAATTTATAAAAGCATAACTTCAAGTTAGCAATAATATGATTAGAATCTTTTTTACTTATCCTAAATTACCTCAAGTTTTTTTTTGTATTTTCTTCATAAAATCGTACTAAATTATATATCTTAATTCAAGTTGTTTTGTTATTCTTTATTTAATCTTTTTTTAAGGTTAAGCAAAGTATTGTTTTTAAACCTTTATTATAATAAAATAATTGTTATATCTTATTAATAAAATTTTTTATTTTTAATAGAATGTCTCGTGGCCGTCCATCTTCTAATATTCGTACTGATCATTTTTACCTTGTAGAAGAGGAAAATACAAATGCTAATAAATATTCTACTCTTCGTCAAATGTGCAAATATTGTAATAAGGATGTTGTAGACTTAATTGATCGCTTAAAAGATCATTTGAATAAATGTAGTTTTTTTCCTTATGAACTTCAGGAATCAACAGACTTAACTACTAGTAAAAGTCATCGAAACAGTACATCTATACAATCTAACCATACTGCAACAGATAATATTGTTCAATTAAGATGAATACGCTCTCAACCTATAACTAATTTTTTAGATAATATGAGTCAAAATGACAAAGTTATTTTAGATCAAAAGCTTGCTCAATTTTTTTACTCAGCTGGTATTCCTTTCTCTGCAATTGAAAATCTATATTGGATTGATTTTATACATACAATTCGCCCTTCTTATAATTCACCAAATCATCAGCAATTGGCAAATAAACTTTTAGATGATGCTTATTCTCAAGAACGTAAATATTTAGAAAATAGACTTGAAAATATAAATAATATTTCACTTGTATCAGATAGATAGTAAATTTTAATTTAATTATTATTATTAATCTGAATATACTTTATTTCACTAATACTCATTTTGTAGACACAATATTTCATTAACAATTATTTACCAACATGTTTGTTTTACAAACAACTAATTTCTAGACAAACTCATTTCATAAACAAGCTTATTTCATAGACAACTTATTTCATATATAGCTTATTTCAATGACAAGTTAATTTCTCATAATTCTTTTAACCCTAATCTAACCCTAACCCTAATTCTAATAGTAATAATGTTGGTAAAATAAGCTGTCATTGAAACAGATTGTCTATAAAATAAGCTTGTCTAGGAATTAGTTGTTGTGAAACAAATATGTCAGTAAATTGATTATTGGTGAAATATTGTATCTACGAAATAAGTGTTAGTAAAATTAGCTAAACTAAATTATCTTATATTATTATACAGTATGTCTAATTACTTAAATTATTATTTAAGGTCAAATATTCGTCATAAATCTGTTTTAAACTTTATTCTCTGTCTTCCTGAACTAATTTTTTATGATGCATATTATACTGGATCAGAATCACATACGGCAGAATTTATTTATGATAAGCTTAAATCTGTTATTGAAGAGGTTGGATCATCAAAATTTGTAGCAGTCATTACTGATAATGCAAATACAATGCGTGCAGCATGGAGATTGCTTGATAGAGATTATTCAAATCTTATTTGCATGAGATGTAATTCACATGTAGGCAATCTTTTAATCAAAGATATTCTTAAGTTAAATTGGGTAGAACAGTCAATGAATGATACAAAAGAAATTGTTATATTCTTTAGAAGCCATTATTGAGCAGAAGCTATTTTGCAACAAGAATCTAATACAATTATGCTTGTTAAACCAGTAGATACACGTTGGGGAACTTATCTTAATTCAGTTCAGTCTGTTATTCACTGTAAGATAGCAATTCAAACATCTGTTTTACAACCAACAATTTCTAATATTATAAATTATAATTTAAAAAATAAGATTTTAGGAGAAGAATTATAGGATAAGTTAGAATGTTTAAAATTGTTATTAACACCATTTACATGTTTTATTAAATTATTTGAGTCAGATACTCCATTATTATCACATATTTATGCAGAGTGAAATAATCTTTATTCAGCAATTGAAGAACTTAACTTAAACTTACAACATGAAGAAGATATTTCTAATTTAATTACTACAAGATTTGAATTTATTTTTCATCCGGCTTTGGTATTCGCTAATTTGTTAGATCCAAAGTAAGTATAATATAATATAAGTATTAGTAAGAAAAAATAAGAGTTCTTTAATTTTACTCTTTCGAATAATTTGATTTTATAATAATATATTAATTAGACTTATTCAAATATTTAATTTGTTAGTTAAAATTATATTATATTAGTATTATACTAACTATGCATTTAGAAATTACTACGTAGTATTACAAGTTACAAACTACATAGTAATTTTTATATGCATAATTAATATAATATCAATACATATAAACTTTTATTATATATTTTAAGTAATTATAAGTCTATATACAATCGTAATTATGATAAACTTTTATATATAATTATAATTATAATAAAGCTCTTATATACAATTGTTTAGAGATCAATTAAACTATTACTCTTTAAGAATAAATATCTAAATTTAAAATTTTTTTTCTTTCGCTAATCTTGATATTAAAGTATATTTATTTCTAAAGATAGATAATATTATTATTTATTTTTCTAATAATTTATTTTTTAATAGCTTTATTATTAATTTAATTTAGAATTAGTAAAGTGTTAAGAAAAAAAATATTAAAATTAATATTTAATTTATTTTCTAATAGTTTTCATGGAAAAGCCTTAAAACCAGATGATTTAACGAATATTGTTATTCCATATTTAAATGAAAATTATTCATCTACTACTGCTGCACATGTAAGTTATATAAGAATATTAATTTATTAAATTTAAAATGTATTTAATTTTTAATTTTTAATTAGTTATATGGAACAATTCAAAAATATATTGCAAAATCTGATGAATTTTCAAATCCTTTACTTTGGGAATCAATTAAATATTCCAATTCTATTAGTTGGTGGAAATCAAATTTTGAGCATAAATATCCTTTGCTTGTAAAATTGGCAGTTACATTATTATCAATACCAACTTTGTCAGCTTCAGCTGAACGTAATTGGTCGCAGTTTAGATTTATTCATAGCAAATTGCGTACTAGATTAGATAATAATAAAGTTAAAAAATTAGTTGCTATATCTCAAAATCTTAGAATTCAAAAAAATATTGTAGAGGATAGTTGGTTTGACGAATTACAATAAAAATTTAATTTTAATATTAAAGTTTGTTATATTAGAAAATTATTATATTGTTTAATAATATATTTTTTAATAAAAAACATATAAAATGTTTTAAAACATGTTTTAAAACACAAAAAAATAAAAAACATGTTTTTTGCCATCCCTATTATATGACAACCTGTGCTTTTTTCATTTACTTATTGGCACAGGATTGTTACATCAGACATTGAGTAATAAAATAGTTATTATATGGGTTGAATAACCCAGTTATTTACATGAGTTCATATTTAAATCCCATGCCTTCAGCACGGAATATGAACCCATGTGTAACTGGGTTATTCACTACAACTCATATAATAACTATAAAGTATTTAATTACGCAGTCACTAATCAATTTAATCTGAGTCGGGGTTAACTAAACTATGGGTAATAATTGTGTAATTCGGGAGTTTAAATGTATTGGTTTATTAACAAAGCAAAATGAAATAGTTTTTAATAAAAACAAACTAAAATAATAAAAGAAAATCAATTATTCAATAAACTTTCAATTTCAACACTTTGAGAATTCGATTCCTAATATCTTTCTTATATTCAAGACATCAAAGTCTGAAGAAACGTTATTAAAGTCAAAAAGAGCCCTTTATATACATTATTCATTTACTAATAACTACTGCGCTTACTCCTTAGGTTGTTTTTCAAAATTGTTCTCAGGTTGTGGACAACCCTTGTTGAAACAACTAATATGCATATTCATGCATAATATCACTACAACAGTTGTGAGTAACCTAATAATCCCATCTACCAATAACCAGTTTGACCTTAATTCAGATATACTTATCAAATTTACCTCACATAAAATTAAACAAGAATAAAGCAAATAAGGAAATAAACAAAAAAAAAATTTATTGTGACCGCCCAAGCCTCAACTAAATGTCATGAAAATCTGTGACAATATAGGCTAGGTGCTATAAAAAGGAACAAAAATGACAATTTTTTTAAAAGATATTTTTTTATATAAATTAATTTAAAATAAGTTTAGAATTATTTTTTACTTAAGATACAAAAGTAGTTGTATTAATAAAATTTTGCTGTATACCTCTTTAAAGTTTGTATTTTCTTATGATTTATTATAAAGTTTATAACATAAAAATTCTTTTTTTTTGTCAATTTCATTCCTTTTTATAGCACCAAGCCTATATATATAGGTATCTGAAGATATTTCAGTAAATTTAGTCCTTCACTTAGTATCAGATATAATACCTCAAAAAACAATTAAATTAAGAAAGTAATATAGCGCAATAGGAGTATTGTAGTGTATTAGTAATATCTTGTAATCTAGTAATCAGATTCAAACGATTTTACAACTATTCAATTCATTTCAGTGAGATGAATCAATTAGTACCAAAATCATGCAATTCTAATCAATGAGCTACGAGATATTGTAACTGCACTACAATGCTATACTAGAGCTCCTAGGTTTGGTTCGAGTTTAGCTCGAGTTTGATTAAACCCAAACTCAAACTGAACTCAAATAGTAAATTCAAACTCAGATTCGAATCTGAACCTATAATGCCCAAACTCGAATACAATTTGTAGTTTAGTTTGAGTTCAGATTCAAAGTTTGCAAACAAGTTGAGTTTGATATTATAGATAGATCCCTAAAGTACAATGTCAAATATCAGTATAGACATAATGCAGATTATACAGTAGCAATAGTAAATTCCAATAATATATATATTTATTGAGAACTTGCAGTTTGGTCACCAGGACTAACTAACTAACCCTACTATTATTCAGCAACTGAATGACCTGTTCAAAAAAGATAGTTAAATTTAGCAGATAGGTTTCCTAGGGCTCAGGTCGTCTCTTCCCACTAGTATTAGATTAGTTATATGGTAATCATGGGATAGACATGAGATTCATAAAGATAATTCTACTATGCTAAGTAGAATATTGAGAGGAATAATTAAAGAATGTGGGAATAGGACTTTATTATATATTCAATTGAATGAGACCTTTTCTTTCAAAAGGCCAATACAGCCTTTATTTATAATATAAAATATATTCTAGATATGCTATAAACGCAATAAAACTAATCTTCTATTTATTATATATATACCCGAAATGCTATTTATCTAATAAAACTATTATCTCCTATTTATTCACTATATTCCTTAAATTCAAATAATGTAATATATGCAATATATTCTCTTTAGTCTCATGATTTGAGATCATGTTATGTTACCAGATACAGAATTCGAAGCTCATAATATAACAACCTGTATCTTTTTCATTTGGTTATTGTACAGGATTGTATATCAGACACCCTGCAATAAGATTTTGATCTTTTTAATCAGTGAAGGTACTCTCATATCTTATTATACCTGATTATGAAATTTGATTGGCTAGTAAAATTTTTTATGGTACTAATATCGATATATAGTATTTCGATCCTATTTGTTAAAGGCTATTCAAATTAAATTCAGATCCTTCTTTACCTATCTGGTTGATAATTCAAATTCAGATTTAATTAGTAAATTTGGATCATCAAAATTTTATTTATGCTGTATACTTTAATCGAAAGTTAGCTAAAGCGAAGCAAACTTTAATTTTAATATTTTTTTAATGACTTTAGGATCAGAACAACTTTACAATAATTAGTATTGAGTGAGAGTTTGAGTCTATAAGCTATAGATAAAATTGTTTCTCTAAAATTTTTTATTAATACTCCAAGGTGCTATTTCTTGTACTGTATTGTTGCAAAACAACACCCACCTGTATGTTATTTCGAATCTATGCCATTAATTCGAGTATGCGTATAGAGTAGTTTCAAGAACAGGTAACCCAGTGGCACTCAGGATTAGAGTATAATTTAGGCTAATTTGTTAAATGTTAGTAAACAAAATAATGTCAGGGTTACCTGTTTTTGAAGTATCCTGTATAATGACAATTTATTAATGTTAATATATAGAGTGTACGCTATTTAGGGATGCGTATAGGTGTTATTTTAAAACAGTACTTACGATTTTTTAGGGAGTATAATTTTCTAAATAATGCTCATGCCTAATTTGTTTGGTTGATTTTATTCTCACAGATTAAATTGCTTTATATTTATATTTCTATTCCTGGTTTTAGCATGACTACATCATGCAATAACTAATGATCGGGTAGAAGTATAAATTAAAATTTATATTATTAGATTATAAAAGTTAATTAAAAAATGTGTTATAAAATATTCTAAAAATTAAACAAATAAGTATCAGAAATAAATACAATGAAGTTTATACTTACTAATAAAATAACCTAACTATAGTATATATATTGTATATCACAAAAAACAGACAGAATTCAAAAAATTTAATATATATTTCTTAATTTTATGACATCTAGTGTTCATTGAGTCGTGAACTCTACTATCGCTTACTATATTGTGATTAAACAATTATTAATGAATTTTACACTAATTTAAACATATTTTTAATAATCCTAACAACAATAACTCTAATTACTGTATCAGTTAAATGAGATGAACTGCCAATGAAGTAATTTATCTTTGAAATGAACTTGTCTTAATTGATTATCTGCAAAACAAATTTATTACAAATTGAGTAGCAGTACTGAACCTAAACATGTTTGCAAACTTTCAACCCAAACTCAGACTAAACTCAGACTAGCTCTAGAAGTTCAGTATCAGATCTGAGTTTAACAATAGTTTGAGTTCGGGTTTGATTTGTGATCTTTCAAAATTTAGATCTTTCAAGATTCTGACTTTTTAGGATTCGAATCTCAGTATTGTGACTCTTTTAGAATTACGATCTATTCAGATTTGTGACCCTTTCAGGATTGTGACCCTTTCAAAATTGTAACCTATTCAGAATTGTAACTCTTTTAGGATTGTAACTCTTTTAGAATTGTGACTCTTTCAGGATTGTGACCTTTTCAGAATTGTGATTCTTCTAGGATTGTGTCCTTTCAGGACTGTGACTCTTTCAGGATTGTAACTCTTTCAGGATTATAATCCTTCAAATTTGTGATCTTTTAGGATAGTGATCTTTCAGGAATTTTTTTTTCAGGATTTAAATTTTTAAGATATTATACTTTCAGAATTTTGTTTTTTAAGGATTTAGTATATCAGGATTTAGTATCTTCAGAATTTTGATCTTCAGAATACTGACATAAACCCTAATATTGTACAAATTCGAACAAAATTTGTAAGAATTCGCTGATCAGATGCTAAAAAGTGGTCCCACAAGCAAGGTGTTGCATAAATCAAAATAAATATTTTCCATTCATTTGCAGTAAAGTTAGTGAATCCCTCTCCACAATCTACCTTTCTAGGAATTCATCCAATATCTGATGGAACTTGAATTTTAGACATTTCATTTTGAATCTGCTTTAGTTGTTGAGCACCTAATCTATCATTATCGACCTACAACTGTTTTACAATCTCTTTGCAATGCCTAAAAATAGGCAATGCATCGGGTCAACTGCTAAAAATCGAATAGAGTCAAAATATGGTAAGCGCAATAATTCAGACTACCAAACTCGAGTGAGTTTCATATGCTGTTTTCTACCTGACTTCGTATAGCATTTCCTCCACCTGCAATATGAATTTGTAAAGGATATAATATAGAGCTTAGTTAAATATTATCACTAGTAAAAGTGCCAAAAATTAATACAGTTATACTATGTTTAGTTAACTAATTACCAAAGGTGCCGAATATATACTAGTTATTATATCTTCGGCACCTTCAGTAATTAGTCAACAAACATAATATAACTGATAGTATAACCTCTTAACAAATACTTACTTTTTAGCATCCTGTTTGTGCTGGCTTAAATTCCACTCAATAAACTATGAATCGATATCATCAATACCACTGAAGTGGTGATGTCTATTCTCAAACTGAGATTTTTTTTCGCAATGATGACATGCCGCTAATGCTGAAGTGTAGCCACAAAGTTTTCGAGCTGCAGATAAATCACATGAGCATAATAATAATGCTGTTCGAATTATTTTT